AAAAATAATATTATTATATTCAATCTATTTTTAGAAATAGTGAGATTTTTTTTATGAGATAGTATATATATATATATATATATATATATATATATATATATATATATATATATATATATATATATATATATATTTGAACTTTGAAGTCAAACAAGCTAAGAGTAAATGACAAATGATCATCGTATAAACATATGTATGGCCATATGGGCAAAGCACGTGGTTACGCATACCATGGAACTATTTATTTTGGAATACATATACGAGCTTAATAAAATGACTCCTAGCCCTAAGTAAAGTGTTTATTTGCTGGAATTGCATTCTACCTGAAGCATAGGAGGACACTCAGCAAGCACATGGAGTGATTTTAATCAATGTTTAGGTAAGAAAGTATTTTTATCCGCAAACATATAATTATATTAACTTTTGAACATTAGACCCCGTATCTAATGTTTTTTGTAATTTAAACGTTTGGTAAACTGGAAAAGTAGTTTATATAGTTTATAAGTTAAGTTTGAGATAACTTTTTGATAAACTAGCTTATAAGCAAAAACTAGCTTTTCAACTAGCACACTACATAAAACCTTAACTGATAATGCAAAATCTAAAGAGGAAGGTATTCACATCTAGGGTTGTTCTAAACCAGATATCCGAAATACAATGTTAGTGAACTCTTCGCCTACCCATATAATTGGTACTAGATGTACGCTAAATAAATTGTAGAAGCATGTTAAAGATTTTTTTATCTTTAAGTTTGTGTTTATTACATTTTTATAGATAGAGGCTAAATCCAAGACATATCAATATATTTTTATGTATTTATCTACTTTCATTTCTTATTTTTACAATATTGTACTTTCTAACCATTTTGGTTGTGGTGACTTGGTATGACATGTGAAAGATATTGTAGATAAATTATTTACCTATGTTAAAATCATGTCACTACTCAGCCTTTGCGGCCATAGAGGTTCATGAGACATAACCTCATATTTCCAGCGGGATTAATTGGTGCGCGAAAGATGGCTCGGAAATTCTCGTTAGCGAAATTCTATTTCTAAAAAAAACATTGCACTTTCTAGAACATAACTGCAGCGGGATTCATTGGTGCGCGAAAGATGGCTCGGAAATTCTCGTTTGTTAAATTCCATTTCTAAAAAAACATTGCACTTTCTAGAAATTTCATCTCCATGGCATGAGACATAACCTCATATTTGCAGCGGGATTAATTGGTGTGCGAAAGATGGCTCGAAAATTCTCATTAGCGAAATTTCATTTCTAAAAAAAACATTGCACTTTCTAGAACATTCTTATTTATCCTCAAGTTTATATTTACCCGATTTTTAATATGTAATCTTTTAACTGTACTCAATAATGTCAAAAATCTATTTTTCTTTGCTACACCATTTGAGTGAATAATGAATTGCAATCCGATAAAGTGTTATTCAACACTTAATGGAACGCACATTGTGGCATCCAATATGATAGAATTTGTTAATTTATGTTCACATAATTGTTTTATTCCATCTTTAAAACCATGTTAGACTCGTTTTACATATTTTAATACTAATATACAAATATTAATGGAGAGAGAGCCCACCTAGACAGGATGTCGTTCCCTGCGGCACCTCATAGCCACCTTAACCACCGTGTATGTAATAGGGTATACTTGAAGGCATAATGCATTCTGATTTCCACCCACTAAAAATATTTAGCACTTTGCACCAACTTAAATAAGGAAACTTGTTCGAAGCTAATGCATTTCATATGATACGGTGACAAAGGTTGCAATAATCGTCACATACATCAAAAATGAAATCACAACATTGTAAGAATTGTCATCTGTATGAAATTGGAAACACTACTAGAAAAAATGGTGTTTTCCTACAGATAATAGCTACGGAAAATTTCCGTAGCTAATTAGCTACGGAATGACTACGGATTAGCTACAGAATTGGATGCCATAATTTAGTAACGGAATAGCTACGGAATAATTACGGATTAACTACAGATGATCAAAGTTGGCAGATGACTTTCCTCCTCTCTTTTTTTTTCTTCATGATGCCATTATTCTTCTTCACTTTGTTACTGTTTCATGTTTTTTGGTATACTTTTGATGAATATGTTATATGATGAATGTACTTTATTCTTTGTAAAATCATATGTAGATTGCACTATTTTGTCCTTTGGTTTGCTGCATATTTTTGTTCATAGTTTTTTTTTGCCTTTGGATTTTTTTTGCCCTTGCCTCTACATGTGGTTTGCCTTTGCTTGAATTTGTTAAAATGTTAGGTTAGTTTGTTATATTTGTTAATTGTGATATAAATATTATATAAATAGTGTTGAGAATGTCAATTTGTAAAAAAATGTTAATTTTGTTGAAATATTTGGTTAATTTGTTAAATTTGTTTAAAATGTTGAAAATTTTGGTTGATATTGCTATTATTGTTTAAGTATTGAATTGTGTTACCATTTTTTAGGTTGATAGGTTGCATGCACAAGTTTCTATCATGGAACAACAATAACAAATGAAAGAACAAATGAAAATGTTTATGAGGATGATGAATATATCTTGAAATCAACCCCGTGCTCCCCCCGATAATCCATTTGAGGACAATTGATAAGTATTTTAGAACAATTAAATTTGTAAACACTTGTATTGTTTGCTTGTTTTGTTATGCTTAATTTGTATGGTATTTGAGACATTTGTATGATATTTAAGACAATGGAATTGAATGTGTCAAAGTTGGTATTAGGTACATTTTTTGGTGTATTTTGGACAAAGTAAATTGATATGGTATTTGACAAAAAAATGGAAAATTTTAATTTTTTTTTTTTTTTTGATAAAATTAAATTAGCTACGGACTAGCTACGGAAATCCGTCGCCAAATAGTTCCGTAGGTATTCCGTAGGAAGAAAGTCAACTTTAGTCAAACTTGAGTTTTGTCGTTAATTCGTAGGAAATCTGTAGCTAAACAGTTCCGTAGCTATTCCGTAGGTAATCCGTAGGAAATCCGTAGCCATGCGATTCTGTAGCTATTCCGTAAGAACATACACCCGTCGGCAATCCGTAGGCATTCCGTAGCAATTACTGTCTGTAGCTATTCCGTAGGTATTATACCTACGGGAATCCGTAGCTATTCTGTAGCTAGTCCGTAGCAATTCCGTAGGTAAAAATTTCCCACGGACATTTATGCTACATGGCATTTTCCGTAGCAAATCCGTAGGTATCGCCTTATACCTACTGAATAGCTATGGATTGTGCCGTAGCTGTTGCCCTAGTTTCTAGTAGTGAAAAGTAATAAGAAAACCCCTAAAATTTACAAGTTTTTATTGGCTTTACCCGATTTTTTTATGATTATGCTTGAAAGTTACGTCAAAATATTCAAATATTCCGAAAATATGGATATTTTTTTCCGATTACAACCTTACTAACATGGTTTTTTTGTTCACATGGCGCCAACATGGAGACCACAACACTGTTACATGTACAGCATCTCACCCTCACTTACGAGCCTCTTTTTGGCAAGTGAAACACCACATTCTTTGTACCTTCGGGACATGAAACAAAATTTGATCCAGCATAGACTATTCTTCCTTGTAAACATGTCAATTTACCATATGAAGAAACACACTCTATGCTGTCAAATAACCAAGACCATTGCAGCTTTCTTCCACCAAATTTCTTTGCACATTTGACCACGTGGCTTCGTTCTTCAAAGCCCATTTCTTGATCAATCGCACCTTTTCAAAACTTTACCAACACATAGCTACTCGCCTCTATTGCGGCCCTTTGATTAATCCAAGAAAAACGATGCCCAATAATGAACCAAAACACCCATTTCTTGATCGAAAAACCCACGTGAAAATCAAATGGGCCTCTTTGAAAACGTTTATCGAACATTTAGCACGTGTAACATGAAACTCTACCTCTAACACAAAATCTTTGTAAAGAGACCCCAAAAATAAATTACACACTCAAACCAAAGACAACTTAATGCCTCTAAGCTTGACCAAAAAACCCCTCTGTGAAAAGAATCAAATTTAAGTAATATTTTATTTTTTGTTTTGTGTGTCATATTAATATATTAAAATAACATTAAATGTGTTATAATTATACTGTTTAATTGAATAGAATATTTTTAGGAACCAAATATTGACTTTTGCATATCTAGAGAATGACGTCCCGACTAAAGCCTTATTTTATTTATGAATTAAACCCTAACTTAGTTTTATGCCATCTTTACCAACATCAACCATTGGATTTTATAAGAACATAAAAATATTATAAAAAATGTGTGAGAATTGAGAAAGATGGTGACATTCGCTTTCAAACTTGCAAACTAGCCACATCCAATCTGTATGTCATATGATAAAAACATGATTGATTCCACTGAAATAAGGATTTACGTTAACTACATTAGTCAAGTACAGAAGTACTAGCCCCTCCATCCTAAGAGCATGTTTAATGAGATTTTTTTTTTATCCTAATTAAAAGTCGTGTGTTACATGTCGGGTGGCCAATATACAAATGGCAATATATAGAAACAATATTAACAAACACTTATCTAAATTCTATACAAAACATTACAATCAATTCCATTTTAAGAGTATGCAATCTCTTAGTCGACTCTCAAGTCGTTTATAGCCTTATCCTAGAAATGTTAGTAGCTTGTTGGCTTTGATCACAATTTTAAACATGTATGTTGGAACCTTATATATATAATAATTGGATCTATAATTCACAACTAATCGAGATACTCAATATTATTTGTTGGTTCGTTTGCGTGTCTATTAGTTTGATATTCAACAATGTATACCAGTATCTTATTTACAATACATTTGATTAGTTTTTTATAATAAAATATACATTTTCTAATTTATATATGATTGTATTACATATCTTTTTGTCGCATACTCCTTGAAATTTCTCATGATAATGTCATGGGGTCATGGTATATTGTTTGTAGCTCATATGTTGTCTCCATGTGGTTCACGTCAAGGGAATGATGACATTAGTAGCAACTTCAAGGAAGCTTCCTAAATCAAGAATTGATAAGCCCCACCAATGGGATCGTTTGCTTTTGCAAATTCTAGTGTATGTTTAGTGTGTGTGTGTGTGAGAGAGAGAGAGAGGGGTATTCCACGGTGAAGCACATATATCCATGTAATTATCCCAACACAAATCCATGGTATTGGTATCCCAATATTAATTCCAGATTCTTTCATTCTTCCATATCAAGCAATATGCCTTTAAACTGTCTGGTAGTCGCAAAGGTGAAACTGGTAGGGCTTTCAAAGTGTCACGCGTTTACGGCTACTCCAATTCTTGCCACCTTAATGTGGCCATTCTTGTTCAAACTACTACTGAATTTAAGACCAATAAAGGACATTGTTGAATCCATGGCAAACGACTCCAGTCTTTTTGTCTTTCAGTTGGGCCAGATAGTCATGTCTCAGGCCACCAGTCAAAGGAGATGGCAACGAATCCTCCGTTTGGCTCAAGAAAGGATGTCTACGGCTCAACAATCCTACGACGATACCTTACATACCCTTTCCATGGTTGCGCTCTAATGGTATTGCATGCTTCATATAAACATTCTCTTTCACACACACACACACATATATACATACATATTGTGCATCATATACATATAATATATCACAAAACATTCATATATTGCTTCAGAAGTGTTATATATATAACTTGTTTCTTATCAAATTATTGGGATTTTGCAGAGGACCGAGTTGTGGATAACAGCTAGCTACAAGGAGTGTGCGAATTGCTATCGATATCGTTTCTTGACCTTAACATAGCTTTAAAACTTTGATATCATTATATTCTTGCAGCCTTACTTAGTTAAGTTTCATTGTAATGTAATTGCCCTGTGGCGTATATGATATTACTCTGAGCCTCTGAGGTTGTTGTTGTTTTTTTTAACGGCAAATTTATTCTACTTCTATATTACTCTTAATTTTCCACTTATTTTCATAATGGACTTGAACCCTCTAAGGTACTCATACCTAGCTATATGACTTATCATTTATTGAAATTATTTTGATTTATTTAGATATTAGAATATGATGCATGTTTTGGTAAAATAGATGTAGACAATCAAGCTAGAGGTGATTTGTGGTGGGATGAAATGTTTTTTTTACACATATCGTAAATCGGATTTGTATGAAATGCAATAAAAAAAAGGAAAAAGAAAAAAAAAAACCCAATACACACACTAGTAGTTTATCCGCGCACGCGATTAATTCTTTTTAGTGAATAATTTCATTGCGATTTTCATTTTTATTTCGAAAACATGTGATTGTATCGGCGATTTGTATGAAAGATCATAAATTAGTTTTCGTGGTGGATGGTAAATAGTTTGCTTTAAGGGAATTGTATCTTTCGAAAAAAAATAGCATATTCAAAAAAATGCATTCAATCGAAAAATATCATTTACTGTTATCCCTATTCTAATAAAAAAATAAGTTTAATCTCCTATTGACAAGTGTCATACAATTAGGACTCCTCATTAATGTTATATATCATCTATCATGCCACTTGTCAATCTATTAATTATCCATTTCAAATTTCAAATTTTAAACCTCTAATTACATTAAATTAATAATTGATTCCTCATTTTAAGTTTCTAAATTTTAATTTTCTCACTTTAATTATATTAAATTAATAACATTAGATTGAAAAATAAAATAAAATAAATATAGATTAGAAGGTGATATAACTTCACACATTTATTTAAATCATTAAGTATAATTTCCTTTATATAACTAAAAAAAATATTTCTTAAGTAATAAAAAATAATTGATTAATAAATTTGATTTTTTAATATAAAAATTTAATTAGTTTTATAACCGTGGTTCTCACGGGTTATAAACTAGTATATTTATATATAACTAACGACCACGAATAGTCATAGAAAAACTATCTCTAATTGAAAACTATTTTGTATTCAATTTTGAGTGAATCTTATTACCATCAAATAGACAAAGAGGGAATATAAATTGGCAAATAATATCTATTATCCAACATAATGATAGATGGCTATCTATGGATTAAAATATAGATGATATTCTTTTTAATATTTGCATATCAATCTTGTATCATTATTAAGACGATGGACCGAACTTAGAATCAAACATGTTAATTATTAATTTTTGAAAAAAAAAATTCTATGTTGCATTAGCGGTTTTTGAAATGTTGGAACCGAAACTTGTTACACCAATTACGATTTTGGAACCAATTTCGATTTTCGGTTTATAAGGGTAAGAAACTTTTAAGGTGTAAAGTCAAGTGATTATGTTGTGGAGATCTGGTTCGAATATTTGAAGATATGATCCTATTTCATGTAATTAAATTCTCAGATGATACATATAGTTTTAATCCAATTATGCAATTGAACTTAAATCACCATTACATTTGAGAACTCAAAATGTTGTTTTGAAGCATAAACTATTAAAAATATTGTATCATTTCCATCTATTTATTTAGATATTCTTATGATATAATATATTTATGAATATTACATGTGTTTCATTGAGATATTATAAATAAAATTAATTAGCGAAAAATTCTTAAATAGTGATAAATGTTTGAATTAAGATAACAAAGAAAATATTATTATTATTTCATTTATTAGTTTTTTTTATTTTAATGGTAATTATCATTGAAAAAACACCAAAACGAATATTTAGTACAAAACGATTATTATTATTATTATTATTATTATTATTATTATTATTATTATTATTATTATTATTTAGTACAAAACAATTATTGTTATTAATATTTAGTACAAAACGACTATTATTATTATTATTATTATTTTGTCTTATTTTCACCAAAGATCCTTAGGAAATTAAAATAAAATACCGTTCTCATTCACTTTATCATTTTTATGTTTGCATTATATATTCTAGACAAAATTGCAAAAATGGTCCCTGTGGTATGCATTTCTTTGGGGTTTTAGTCCAAACTTCGACTTTTTTGGATTGGTGGTCCTTTTGGGCTGGTTTACATGCAATTTTGGTCCCTGTCGAAACTAAAAAGACTATTATACCCTTAATGAATTTATTTTTCATTTTTCTTTCCCTTTTTAAAATTATTATTATTATTAAATATAAAAATGGGTCTCTCTCTCTCTCTCTCTCTCTCTCTCGTTCTTGGATACCACCAGCAAGGGAAGAAGAACTGGTGGCTGCCCCCACCTCTGCAACTCCCTTCCTCCTTCATTTTCTTTCCCGTCGATCAAATAGCCCAAACACCCTATGTTCACTTCGTGTGCTACCCACCTCCACAGCCGTCAACAAAAGGGGAAAGCAGCCGAGAGGAGCAACGGAGCAGCCATATTGCCATCACCTTCGATGCTTCAACCATCTTCGAGCCTATCACCGCCTTCAGCTCCTGCGCTTCTTTTGTCTCAGAAGGAATCAAAAAGGGGTTGCTGCCTCCGATGTTTGCTCCGAGGAAACACCCACTTCGGTGGTGGGTTCAGGCCAGGGAATGAAGAAGAAATGGAGGATGAAAGGGGGGAAAGGCAGAAACGATCGCAACAGTCTTCAGGGGAAGTTCAGTGACTAAGATCGACAGGTAAAACGATGGAGCAACAAGGGGTTGTTGCCTCGAACTCTCATCGGAATTGACCATCACCCCTGACATTTCATAACAGGAAACGAAGGAGAAGACAGGCGAAGTAGAAGACGCAGCTGCCTCCTGTTCTTCTTCTTGATGGCAACAACAAAATTGAATGAAAAGAAAGGTGTTTGGAGCTGGTTTATCTCATCAAAGCTTTGGATGTGAAGAAGGAGAAATGGGTTCAAGATTTGGGTTGTTGATTTAGGTTCTTATTTTCGTTTACAGCTTCCATTTTCATCAGAAAATGGTGGTTTCCAGGTTTGATCGGGGGAGAAAAACAATAGTCAAAGGTGGGTGCTGGAGAGAGAGAGAGAGAGAGAGAGAGATGTGGGCCCCAAATTAGGTAATTATTTTAATTTTCATTTAAATTAAATAGAAAAAGCATAAAAAATATATCAGAAGGGCATAATAATCTTTTCAGTTTCGTGAGGGACCAAAAACGCATAGAAACCAACCCAAAAGGACCATCAATCCAAAAAAGTCGAGGTTTGGACTAAAACCCCAAAAAAATGCATACCATAAGGACCATTTTTGCAATTTTGTCTATATTCTAATAAAAGCAACAATTTTCATTTGTTTATTATGCGTTATTTTTTAATTTGAAAGCCCTTACATTCCACTTTGAATATATTTTCATATATCTAAACCAAAATAGATACTCCTTAGAGAAGATTGGCATCCACATTTAGAAAAAATCATCACCTTTTATTATTCTTAAGACAATATCCTTACTTTTTTCATCTCCTACAAACCAACTACAAACAAAAATATAAATTATACATCAAATTAATGGAACTTTTGACCATTAACATATATTTTCTGATTATACAGGTCCAGGTAATATGTAAAACAATGAATTGATTAAATTCGTTCGTTTCTAGTTAGTAATTATACAATAAAACTACAAAAACAACACCCTTCTAACCAAGTCCCTCCAACAACCAAGTCAAATTTACAAAAAGCTACCTGGCATTCCATTATCGGCCTAACAAACATGTAAAAGAAAATAGATTACTTACAAAAATAAGTTAATAAGATAAAACAAAACAATGTGTATATATATTAATTTCAAGACTTACAAACATGTAAAAGAAAATAGATTACTTACAAAAATAAGTTAATAAGATAAAACAAAACAATGTGTATATATATTAATTTCAAGACTTGATAGTATCGACTAATGCAATTGTTAAGATGTAACATATCAAGTTGACATCTACCGGAAACTATAAACATTTGCATCCTATAAGTTAATAGTGATTGCAAAGGGACATACATTGATTAAAAAACAGAATAACAAACCTCTAGCAAGACTAAATGAATCAAACAATGAATGAATACCAATAATAAAGATTGAGGCGAATCAATGTCGAACTTGCCTCTTATTTATAATATTTTATTGTTTTTTGAGTAGTACCTCTTGTTCCTCAAAAGTAAGACTTGGTAGAATCTATACCAAAAAGTGATATATTATATTAGTGAATTATGATAATACAATTCAAATGAACACTATGTTGTGAGACATTCATAATAAATGTATATACTTGATTAGAACTTCTACTCATGTAGAATCAATCTTTTGAGATATATATATATGTCAACAGTTGGCAATTTCTAGCCATTAATGCCAATTTTCATTGGCAAAAGGCAGAAAGGGGGGCTAGTAAGGAAAACATAGAACAGCCAATCAAAAAGGTGGAATGTTTAAGTATTAGAAAGTAGGTCACGTCATAACAACTCATATTGAAAAATCAAGCTATTGACATTGGATCTCGTATGTTCAAGAAACCACTTTATACATCACACTAATGTACCTTCCATTGATGATTTACCTGAAAAAGATGATGTTCTAATAAATACTTTAGCGTTTCAAGAGATTCGTATCATTCTTCATTCTTGAACCAAAAAGTACTTTCAGATCTAGGATTC